CCCTCCTCCCCCCTTCCGCTCTGATTAAATCTTGCGGCCATGCATGCATGTGTTCCCCCGAGTGTATCGCCTTTATATGATAGCATTGTAAACGGTAGGCCAGATCTCTTCTCTATGTTGTAAATAAACGAAGCGGATCAGCAGCGGAAATTCGCGGAGATTCGCGAGTCTTCAAACTGCACGCGTTCTTCCGTCGCCAAGCATACGCAAAAAATGGTTCTTTGTTCTCTCCACAGTCGATGATGTCTCTCTTTCTCTCTCTTTCGACGTCTTCTAATCCTGAAAACAAATCGATCGCTCTAATAATTCTTTGTAACCACGATATTTTCGACGATATAACGAAAGGAGATCGTTAACAATGATTCTGATCTTCGATCTCTGAATTTCATAAAAACATGATACGATTGAAAGAAAAATTATTATTCAATTGAAATATTTATATATATATATATATATATATGTTAAATGAAAGAGATATTGGAAAGAGATTTGAATCGCATGGAAAAAATGATGTACATATGATATAAAAATTTTGAAGATGAAAACATATGAATATAGATAGGGCGTTATAAAGGATTAACGAATAATCGATTCGTACCTGATGGAACGAACAGGAATCACGATGGAACGACGTCGATGCGTGTGATTTTTTTTCAAGTTGATTGGATCCTTGCCGATATGCAATCGATTCACCGAAATCCTGTTGAAAAAAAGAAAATCTCCTCCCTTTCGTGCTTGATTGGATTTCGTCCCGTTTCAATCCGTGCATCGATACAAAATAGAATGAAAAATCGATGGAGGGAAGAAAAGAGAAGAGAAAATTGATAAAAATTCAAAAGTTCTTTTGGAGATCGTGGCACGTTTCGGTGAGCTCGTTGTATCGAAGAGGAAGATTATTCTTCTTTTTGAACTTTTGTACCGGTTACGATGAAACAGAGAAGAACACAATTGTAAAGTCCAATTTTATTTATATTATCCATATAGTCAATCCATGATCTTTTTTTTTTTATTTCTTTTAAAAAAGAGAAACGTTAATGAAACGTAATGTGTAATATCGTAAACTTATTTCGTAAGTAAAAAAAAAAAAAAAAAGAAAAAAAAAAACATTCAAAACGAGCAATCTTAGTCGAGCGTTTTTCATTCAGTCGAAGGCATATGCATGTATAATACTTACGTGATCTCACAAAGTTGAGAAAAAGGTCAACGATGCAATATGCAGTAGAGAAAGCGAAAGACAATTACGAATGCCGCAAACGAGATTTTTCTTTAGAATCTTATGTATACGTTATGATCGTCACAAAATGCTTAATCCTCGATCGATAGGATCGTAGATGATCTACAAAAATATAAGTTACGTTAATTTTAAAATAAGAGTACTCAGTTTTGATCGATATCGTGTGTTTTATAATTAAAATTGTTCCCCGTGACGACATTTATCAATATATTTATAGAAATATAGAATTAAATATCCTACGAATTATTTTAGAGATATGTATAACTCAATTGAGGATTAAGAATACGCGAGTACGAAATTTTCACATTTTCCCTATTCCATTTCCTCTCAAAATATTCACAATATCATCTTCCTTCGTTTCAATTGAAATTCAACTACGTTGAAATAGGTTGAAATAAATTTTTTTAAATCGAAAAACATGCACAAATAGAGATTGATAGAACATATTTCGATATTACGATATGATTGTTGTTTTCTTTTTTCCTTTTAAGTTAAATTTCGATATAAAAAAAAAAATATTACGTATATTCCTCTTTTATTGCAATACAGGATGATAACGATGAAAATACTATATTTATATTTTAGTAATAATCAATCGAAAGCATGTTTGTAATTGTATAATCGTGACTTTATTCGTCTTCGAATTATTTAAGATCATTAGATTTTTAGATATTCAATTGTACGTGAAAAAAAGATGAAATAATTCTTGTTCCGCCCTTTGTAAATTTATTAATATCAAGTCGCACACGACGAAAGAGAACGAAGAACGCGTTACATATCTCTTAAGGATTAACAAAAAAAAAGAAAAAAAAAAAAAGAAAAAAGACAAAAGAAAACGATTTAGTCCACGAACTAGCCATAAAATGTAATCGAATAGAAACGAAGGACTGAGTTTGAGATTTAAAAAAAAAAAAAAAAAAAAAAAAAAAAAAAAGGTTTTAGCCCCCAAATAACCCAAAAAATGAAACCAAAAAAAAACAAGGGCTGGGGTTTGGATTTAAAAAAAAAAAAAAAAAAAGAAAAAAGACAAAAGAAAACGATTTAGTCCCCGATCTAGCCATAAAATGTAATCGAATAGAAACGAAGGACTGAGTTTGAGATTTAAAAAAAAAAAAAAAAAAAGAAAAAAGACAAAAGAAAACGATTTAGTCCCCGATCTAGCCATAAAATGTAATCGAATAGAAACGAAGGACTGAGTTTGAGATTTAAAAAAAAAAAAAAAAAAAAAGAAATAAATAAAACTCCGTTTTTGAAACAACTTTAGACTTAGCGAAAGCGTAATCAAAAGTATGTTAATCGTGTACTTGAAACGGATTATCCGAGTTTTCCATAAAACTATTCACGTACTGATTTACATGTATTCATACGTAAAAATCTATCCTAAGTAAATTTATTAAAAAGAACACACATTGTGTATCACCTATCGAATTTCGAAGTTTCTTGATTTCGTATTTACGCTACCCCTTGCGTGAATTACTTAAGAGAGATGCGAAGAATTATTATAAGCGAAAAAAATAAACGACAAATAAACGTCAAAACGTTTGATCTCTGAGAAACACACGCGGCATTATTCATCCCTTCGGAACGAAAAAAGAAAAAGAAAGATATGAAAATTTCGAATAAATTTTCCCAATTTAAAGAAAATTGTCTTTTTTTTTTTTTAATTTGTTTTAAATTTCTATCAATTTCTTTTTTAATTTTCTAAATTTCTATGATTCTTACTACAATATTTTAGAAAATAAAAAATCATATGTCATTTTCTAAAATATTAGTAATAATAATTATTCATAGAGAAGAAAAAGAAAGAAAATTTTTCGGTTTGAAAGCTTATAAAATTTAATATCACATTTCGAACAACATTTCATGAAACTTTAAAATATAGATAAAGATAAATGTGCAATCTGTTATTAGAATAGAAATATCAAAATATTTCATTCACATCGCAATTATTCGCGAAGGAAAAATGTTTCTAATGATTTAAAAATTTTGAGATGAGGTACATTTACTTTAACGAAGAATAAAAAAAAAAAAAAAAGATGATTATATTCTCAATTTTGAGGGATAATTAAAAAGGTCATCGACATGTTTACGACGTGCAAAAAGGCATTTCATTAATTCGAGACATCACCTCGTTTCATTGACATACTATGAGTTACCATGAGCCACTAATTAACCATCAATCTAGTTCTAGTTAAAAATTGAATATTCATTACGAAATTAAAAATAGAATTAAAAAAAATATAAAAGTTCAAAACAAGTACAAAAACATAAGCAAACATAAAAGTATTTTCATGCACTATTTCACGAAAATGATATAAAGAAATTTTTCATTTACATAAATAACATAAATTTTTTAAATTCATTTGTGCATTAAAAAAAAGATGAATTAAGTTGTAAAATGTTTTATCTCAAATTTGATTACAAGCAACATAAAATCGTGTAGATTCGACATATAGAAAAATGTATATCGAAATAATTTTTTGTACTATACAAATCGATTATATATACATATAACATATATAATATACAATATATATTATATATATATAAACTAACGGAAAAAAAGAAAATATGAAATACAGAAAAAAATTTCAGGTAAAACAAAGTATTCGCTATAGATCGTAAAATGTACGATGTAACACTAACAATAAAAATATTTAATCAAAATTATCATTTAGAAACTTCTGTATGTTTCTAATGATCTAAAAATTTTTGAGATGAGGTACATTTATTTTAACGAAGAATAAAAAAAAAAAAAAAGAAATAGGGAAAAAATGGCAATTTCGATCTATTTTGTATGCCATCTCTTACCTTTCATTATTATAAATTACTACTATGATCGAATAAAATTATCAGTCAAGACATCTAAGAAAGAACAAATCGTTGGACAGAAGAGATCAAATACATCTTTGAAAGATCTAATCTATCCGACGATGAGATCAAGTTCATCGTTCGGCGATGGTGGAAAACGTCTACATAGACTCGCGTATTATCTACAAAATACTTTAATCATAATATTAATTAATAATATACAGATTGTAAATAACTAAACAATAATAAAATATGCTGTAACAAATTCATCCACTTTTTGCTTCTCTGTCTATCTCTATTTCTCTCTCTCTCATTTACTCACTCATTCTCTCACTCTGTCTCTCACTCAATCACACGTCGCTCACTCTCATAACTCACATTGTTTTTATTTTTATTTTATTCACTCCATCATAAAGAAAAGATCCGACGGGGAGCCGGAACAGGGAAGAAGGCACAGGGCACATCAATTAAAAAAGTAGCATTCTTCTTTTGATAATCATTTCCAATGTACATCTAGCTTTTTCATAGCTAATAAATCAATGATTGATATCATATACGTATTAAATTTTCTTTAACTTTTGGAATCTCAAAAACCAAAGGAAAATAAAATATGAAAGGAAAAGAAAAAAAAATAGGAAAAGAAAGAAGAAAAAAGGCGAAAAAGAAAAAAGAGCACCATTTAAAAAGATGTCTCATACGGAAACACGTAGCAACGAGAGGAGCTAACGAATTATATAAAACAGCCGACGAGAAATTACATTTTCCACTCGTCCTAAAACAACGTGACGAACATACTACATACGTTGCTTAGATACTGTGGAAAGAACACAAGCGGCGATGATGATTTTTTAATAGTAATAATAATAATTAATAATTAATAATAATAATTAATAATTAATAATTAATAATAATAATAACAATAATAATTAATAATAATAATAATAATAATAATAATAATAATAATAATAATAATAATAATAANCTAGTAGTAGTAGTAGTAGTAGTAGTAGTAGTAAAAATAATAATAAAAATAATAATAATAGTAATAATAATAATAGTAAAAATAATAATAGTAATAATAATAATAGTAATAATAATAATAGTAATAATAATAGTAATAATAATAATAATAATAATAATAATAATAATAATAA